AGAAGGACTTTGTAATCCCATGTTCCTTTTGAAAGCATCCTTTGAAGCTCGGGAGCTTCTGAAAATTTTCAATTGTGAGAGCTAATTTGACAAAATCAACAAAATGAGTGCTTTGATTTCTGGAACTAGATGATACTGAATGATCTGGTTTCACAGGTATTCTTTACGGCTGGAAAAAAGGTCAATCTTGTGCTGGTTTAATTGACTATTCTGTTTCTTCTTTATAATTCTGCTTTCTTGCAGCATCGTATGGAAATAGAAATGTCTTGAAGGCTCTCCACACCTTCTTTGTCATCTTTTGCTTGGTGTGAGGAGGTCTGTATGCTGCAGTCAGCCACTAAGCCTGACCTCTTCCATTCCCTCAAGTATCCAGACAGGTGACATTTTTTGGGAAGGAGCACATTGTTGTTTTAGTTTTTTCCCTCAAAACTTGTCATTGCTGTAGCCTAGCAGAGGAGAGGGTCCAGTATGCTGAGAGGGGTTCTGCTCCTCACCACACGGCCAGCAGGACGCCGAGCAGTCCTGCCCAGCTCTGTCCAGCTAGCCTGAACCTGCCATTCTGCAGTCAGCTGGACCGGCTCCAGCAGAGCTGCGGTGTTCCATTTGTGTAATTAATACAGCTCCTAAAAGATGACTGTGTATCTTAAATGGTAGACCATTAATGGCTCCAGGGACCTCTCACTGCTCATCCTTATAAGCAACTCTAGGTTCCAAAATAAATGCATGGTGAAGCCTTTCTTGTCACCGCAGGGTGACCTTCTCTTCTCTGGCTCTTCTCTGCCACGCTTGTGATCTCACTTTCTGTCAAATGCTCATATTTTAGTCTAACCCTATAAAACGAGGAAGCTAAATGCTTTTTGGCACAGACACGTTCCGTGCGGTGTCATCTTTCAGCAGCATCTGCTTCTGCAAATAGCAGTGATCGATTTTTGTCTTCAGCTGCCTGTTACCAAAATCTTAAAGATATAGCGGTGTGATCCTTGTGTTGAATTAATAGCAGATCATCTTTGGAAAGATGACACTACTGTTAAGTGCCAAGATTGATGAAAAGAAATCCAGTCGTGCTGGGAAGATAATTGATTTCATGTAACGTTGGTTTTTCTGAATATGCGTCCCTACTGAGATGGTAGCAGCAACTAAAATTTCAGGCATTTTAGATCTGCGTTCTGTAGATTTTTCATTTTATATTATTTTTTCCCTTTCTTTGTTTGTCAGTTAACAATCTGTTAAAAAAACAAAACCCAGAGCGCTAAAGTACAGGTGCGATGTTAGATGTTGATGTGTAGAAATGCACTCACCTTGGTGACTAAAGCCGATGGAGATCCTTGTGTGCATTGGAAAGGCCCGAGGTGACTGCAAGGTGAGAGGTGTCTGACAGCGGGTGTGAAGAGCGTGGGTCGCAGGAGAGCTTGGCTTGGCAGGGAGCTCTGGAGGTCATCGGTCTGGTTCCCGGTGTGACGGCTGGGACCAAGTGCCATGTCAGATGTGGTTGCTCAGGGTCTTGCCCAGTTGCTCCAGCCCTGCTCCGTTGCACAACCATCCCTGTTATGAAAACTGTCTTCCTTGTGTTCAGCCGAGCTGTCCTTGCTGCAGCTCAGACTGTGCCTCTCAGCCTTCTGCTGGGGAGAGCAGGGCTCTGATGGCCTGTTGGGGTGGGGGACTGCAGCTAGAGCCCCTCCTGCCCCCCTGAGCTGAACAAACCCCCTTCCCTCCCACCCTCTCAGCATGGCAGAGACCCCTTTGGTGTCCCGGCAGCCTTCTGCTTGCAGCCCTCCAGCTTTTCAGTCACTTGTACTGGTGGGGCTGAAAATCCAGTTGTGCTCTTCAGGATTATAGACTGCCACCACCACTTCACGTGCTTCCTTCTTTGTCTGTTTGATTTCTGCATGAAAACAGAAGTTTTATTAAATAAAGCTGGCTGGGGTTTGGCTGTACCTTTTGATAATTCAGTGTTGCTACAATAGGTTGTTGTTCAGTAGATGTAGCTAGTCATTTATAGATATCACAGTTCTTGGTAAAATACAAGGTGCGAAGAAATGAGCATGATTATTTTAAATGACACTGAATTAGACTCTGGTATGAGCGAGCAGTCTTTAAAAAAAAAAAAAAAAAAAGAAAAAACTGAATAAGCCAGTGTCACTGGAGTGAAATGCTTGCTTTCAAGGTCTCCTGTGCTGCAAACAATTGTTTCCAAAACATACAGTACAAGCTTGATTTAGATTTTCTATTTTTTTTCCTTAGGAAGCCTGAATTACTGAGAGTAGGCTGGCTGTCACCAAGCTGTGTATAGATTAGTCTCGGTAGTTATGAATTCCTCTATCTCTACAAAATTTGCCACAGTTGTCCATAACAACTTACCTCCTGCTTCAAACAGGCTGGACTGCAACAAAATACGAGGGGTCTGTTTACTTCATTAAAGTAAAGAAATGCTATATCACTTAGCAGTAATTGGATTGCTATTGTCTTGCCGTAATTATTCCCAACAGCAAATCTGTTCTGCACTTTGCAGACGTGTTTCCTGACTGACCTTCACGTAGCCTGTCTGAAGGTGTCTTTCTTGATCTAATTCTGTGTGATGAGGGTTTTGTTTTTAAAAACAAAGGGGAACTACTGCCAGGGGTAGAATAATTTATCTTTGCTCCAGTTGTCGTAGTGCGAAAGTATAAGCCCTTCAGTTCACGCTTGAGCTTTTAGCTGACCCTGGAGAGGCAGGACGATGCGGTGCTTCTTCAAAATGCATCGTGACATTTCAGGCTGCGTAGAACCACACTTCTCTCAGTATCATAGCCTAAATATCCTGCCAAGTTTTCTCATACTTTGCAGAAATCTGTTATGTATTTAAAATGTTTATAGACAAATAACTTCCTAAAGTATCTCATAGATGACTAAGGAATTCGTGCACTTGTTGGAGGATCAGAGAGTCTGCCAGGCAAGTTCTGGATGGCAATTTTATGAGCAAGAATAATATTCAATGATTAAATCTGAATGGGTTTCCAGAGTAGCTAATATTTTTTCAAGAGGAAAGCACTGCTGAACGTCCTCAGTGAGGACTTTGTGAGAGCCTGCCTTCTGTACAAACTCCTGAAGGAGAGGCTCTACATTATGCAGACCCCACAAACCCCTCAAAGGATGGCTCCAGCCCCTGTGTGCTTGTCTGAAGCTCTAAACTTTTGTTTGATTGCCTGCTTGACAGATGAAAATATCATTTCAAAAATGTGTAACTTTCAGCAGTGAACGTATTTCCACCGTCCAGAATTAGCCTATTCTGATGCCATTTTCTGCTAACTTCAGTCCTAATCCTGCTTTCTGAAAATGATGGTTTCTGCATTGCTTAAAACATATGTTTCAAGTATGATTAACCTACACCAGTGTTAGAGAACCATATTTTATGTGAACAAAAACATTTTGTTCGATATTGTTACAGCGCTGACTTCCCTTCTGCTCACAGGTTTTTGTGAAGTATTTTATCCTAAAGAACAGACAAGGGCATTGGGCTGTGAGCAGTCTGTAGCTGCATTTGCAGCTTTCGTGGTCTCGTGGTGCAGCCCTGGTTTCTGGACAAGCCTGCCTCTTCATTTCGATGGAGACTGCCCAAGCTGTTCGCTGCACTGTAACTCCCTGGCCAGGCCAGTTCTGAGTGGAGGGGTCTGGGCAGCATCTGAGCCTGTACTGGTTGCACTAGCAGAGAAATCTTCCTTTGGGGATAGTGAAGGTCTTTCGGTCTTGATTTGCTGTGAAGTTACATTTTGTGTTTTCTTCCTGTGTTGGTTTTATAGTGTCTATACTGGGAAGCAGAATTTTCATCCTTTCACTTTTCATCGCTTCCTTCCCTGTTGCCCTGTCGACACCCTGCAGCTGAAGCCGCCTCCGTTCATGGAGCCCACCCCCTCTCTCCAAACAGCACGGGGGATCTGCTGTGATCTGGGAGCTCAGACCCTGCATTTCTTCCTTCAGTGATGGAAACCTGTTTGCTGAATGGCTTGCTACCTTTATTTGTGTGTAATGGTACTGAAATCCCATGAGCAGGGATTCAGATGGTGTGATAGCTGAAGGAAGGAGGGATGCATTAGCGTTTGTATCCCTAATCCCACCAGCTACCCAACACACCTGGGCACCCTAGGAGAATATAATTTTACTATCTCGTTGCTTTTAACAGATCAACAGTATTCTTCCTTTTAACTTCTGCTTGTTCTAAAGACTAATTTAGACAAATGAGACTGATGTAAATCTGGTTGTGCTAAAGCTTTGTGCTCTTGGCTATATCCTTTCTTCTGTCGGTAAGGGTCAACTCTTTCTTATTAAGAACGGTGCTTGGGAGGCTTATGAGACCTGCTCTTAAAAATAAAAGTATTCATTTTTAGGGGTTATTTTGACTCCTCAGTCTCTCTTTGTACCTTAGACCATTTCTTATTACCCTGAGTTTCTTAAATGCAGTCTAGAATTGAATGGTTAATCTATATATCTGGCTCAAGTAATCCACTGAAAGTGTGTTAGGAGGAATTAATTTACAAAAAGAAAACTAGCACAGTAAACTTGAAACCTTATTAAGTGACCATTTATAAAAAGAAAAAAAAAGAAGCTTTGCTAACTAATCCCTTCTAAGCAAGAAATGTAGAACTTGATTGCTTCTATCCAAGGCAAGTTGTGACACTTGTGTTGTAGACATGGTCTTTGAAAGCCTTGCTTTTGTACTGTTGATAAATATAAAGATTAATTTCTTCTTGTAAAGCAATGCTGTTTAGTTTTGGAACTTTGTGTATTTTGCAGTGCATGCAACCTGGCTGGGATGAAAACACCCAACCTCTTCAGCTGGTAGCAGTTCAGTTCTAGGATGCCATGCGTGAAGCTCTGTTACCTGATGGTGTGCTTTGATGGATTGATTGCCGGTCTAGAGACCAGGGCCTCCAGCATTGTAATCACTTGTGTGGCGGGTTTTAAGCTTCCCTTCAGTTTTCTCACTGTACAGTCAACTGGGTTTTTTTTATTTTTAATATTTCCAGGGAGGGATGAAACAATGCAGCCAGCCAAACCATCATTCCTTGAATATTTTGAGCAGAAGGAGAAGGAGAATCAAATCAATAGCTTTGGGAAGAATGTGTCTGGCCAGACAAAAAATTCATCTGATTGGAAAGTACCACAGGATGGAGACTACGAATTTGTAAGTCTATACTTTGAAATTCAATCAATGTGACAATCTTTAAGAGGTTTAGTCAGAGCTGCTGTAAGATTATTTCTTGTTTTGACAGACTAATGGAAACTTGAGGAGATTCTAATTGCTAATGCATTGGATGGGGCATACTGAAACACTCATTTTCTTTAGGTTTTCTCGGTATTCATAACCAGTCATTATCTGTATGCTTTCCTTGTTGAAAAACAAATGAACGAACAAAAAAGCCTGAGGACATTAAGCTATCTTGCTTTTCTTCCCCATTATGCATTTAAAATAAAAAGACAGAAATCCAGATGGCAGTTGGAAAATGCAGATCCTGAATGTATAGTGCTAGAACCATTGAATTTCCTTGTTTTTCTCAAGCTTTGGCACTAGGTTTTGTTTTATTGTATAAGCATCGAGCTTGTCTTCATTTATCTTTCAAATCTTCAATTTCAATTTTCCTAACTAAGGTTTACATGCTCAGAATTTTCAGGAACTTTTCAGAACTCCAAAGAAAGATCTATTAAAATAAATGTTAATAAATTTTAATATTAAATTCATTTAGTGAGGATGGAAAATTTCTGGTTTGAGTTTAAAATGCCAGAATATGCACGCTCTGCTGAACACTGTTCCCTCTGCTGCATTTTCTTGCAATGGTACTTCAGTGAAAGCACTTTTTGCTTTATGTGCATTGTTGTCTGTTCGTGTTGCCCATGATTCAGGTTGTCACGCTGTGTTCTGTAGTTGGTGGGATTCACTCCACCTTCACAAATCAGCGTGGAAAGTTCATCCCTGTGCTAGTCACGACTCGAGGAGATGCTTTAAGGCTGGAATAATAGCTGGAGCCTTTCATTCTCTTTGTACGGATTGTATAGACTACTGCTGTTACGTATATTTTGTTGTCTTTGTTGCTGCATCTCAGACTTTCTTATTTAGACTGAAAAGGATGGCTGGCTGCGGGGACCTGCTGCATTTTATCTTGTAGCCCTTTTTACTACATTATGTTTAGCCTGAAGGCTTAAAGTCACTGCATAAACATAATTTACAAAAATAACCTGCAAGCTGTCTGTGTGTCACAAGCACACGATTCCAGTCGACTCAGATACTTTATCTCACTCACCTTACACGTTGTAACTTAATTTAATGGATAAACAATTATTTTTCAATGTGTCATTTCCTAGGAAAGATGGGCTGGTTTGAAGTATCTTGGAAGTCTTTTGTAGTGTGCAGAAAGTGGCCCAAGGGGTAGCTTGTTATAATTATTTTACTTTCCAATTTGGTTGATAACAAGTTTAGCAATGACCCTTAGTTTCCAGTAGGATGTATTCCACCCTGCATACCATGAGCTGTAGGTGCGGGCTACACCTAGTGAGCAGCACAAGCAGCACGGATAACCCCAGGAGAGGTCGGTGCCATTCTAGCAAATGGGACCTACAAGTATTTTTAGAATGTGCAAAGCAACTGTTTGACACACATGTGACCTTGTTTACTGCTTTCCATTAGTACTGAAGTATTGCCATGTGCGTAGATTACCAGTGCGCTGGAAGCAATAAAAGCTAGCAATAAATGGGGCTTTGGGTCACCTTCACGTAGTAATTTGTAGACATTTCCCTTCCTGGCTGTACGTGTTTCTCTAGTTCAATTGTGTATGAATATACCAGCCTGTCTTGCATGCAGATTTTGTAACAGAGCTGCTTGCTTTTCTGTAGGATAAGAAAATTCTTGAAAGCAACCTTAATAAATATATGTAGGTATTTGTCAGTGCTTATCAGAGGCTTAGTAGCAGTAACCTCAGGTCATGTAATGTATTCAGAGACTTAAAACTGGGTGTTTTTCCTCTTTGGCTAAAACCAGATCAATTTGGCTAGCTATGGGTAAAAGGTAAAAGTCATGTTTATGAATGCTTTATTATTTGAAAGCATCAATGCAGTAAGCATTGTGGAATAAGAAAATATACCTTCACTTGTGGGTGCATAAAGTACATCTCTCCTAGACTTGCCTGCAGCTGTAAGTTATTTCTGCATTGTCAGAGTAGGCAGGTTTGAGCAGACTTTGTCTATAGTGTTTGCAGGGTTCCAAGTAAAGATGAGGATCAGCAAGATGCTGGGTGAATATTGTTTCCTCCTGGGCCTTAAGAAACTATTGAAATATTATTGCTTTGTGCTACTGCAGACTAGATAAATATGCCTTGTCTTCTCTTCTGTATTCCTCTCCCTCCTATGTGACTAGCACCTGGAGTCTCCTGTCTTCCAAAAAACCCAAAAAGGGCAATATTAAATTACAAGAGATTTTTGCTCATTTTCCCTGTAGCAAAACCATTTGACCTTTTCTTGACTAACATTGTTCTTCTGAAGCAGGCAGATAAGACACTATTTATACCACAATGACAATGTCATGTTAGATGAGGGTTAGATCGAGTCAGCCCCGTCCACTACAGAGCTGAAAACCCAGAGATCCTGTTCTGAAAGGTGATGAACTCCATTGCTGCCAAACGTGATGCTCTGGCTGTGTCCCGGTTGTGGTCTGAGATGGTGTAAACCCGGTGTATTTCCAGCAGTCTATTTCCAGCCTTGGATTTCTGAGGTAGAAATTAATAATAACTGAGTAGTCAATGCCCAGTGGTGCTAATGTTTATCCCCGTTCATGTCTGAACAAGAATCTCTGAAGATGGAAGCCCTGCTTGAATACAAAAAATGTTTTCAAGAACATTATGATTTATTTAACATAGTGAGAAAAAGTACTAATTATGGGCAAAAATTCTTGCTGTTAGGAAGAATATAACAAATTCTAATATGAAAATGCTGCAGGGGTGGGCTGTTAACGGGCAGGCTGCATTGTATGTAGAATTCCTAATTGCCATAATCAGATATCAACATTTTTTTAGTTGAATTTCATTTTCCCAGTGAACATTAGTCACATACTATTGCACCGACTTAATAATGCTAGAAGATTTGTTTAGACAATGTCAGATATTTTCTCACTTTAATCTTTCAGTAGTACTGTAACATACGGCAAAATTAATTGTGCTCTGTTTCCTGCCCTTCGACACAACAAACACTTTGCTTATTCCTATTGTAAAAGCTCTTTAACTCCTCTGAGCAGGCCAGTATGCTAATATCACTTGTGGCTAAAGTGAGATCACTTTTTTTATTCTGGCCCTGCTTGAAAGGCCTTCAGCCTTGACAAACCTATTGTGTAAGGTATTTGTGGATCATCCTGCCAGGAATGTTGTGTATTATACTGGAGGCCTATTTTGTTAGCAAATTAGCAGGTTCCAGCCATTCATGGCTTATGGTAGCTATGGCAATACAGAAGCCTTTTCAGTTCATGAGTCTGGTTTCACTGGGGGAAATGAGTGGCAGTGGAGCCCCTGTCAGTCTTCAGTTTTGCCATCATGATGCAGCTGCTGGTTTTTTAGTACCTGTAGTGCTGAGCTTCGGTTTTGTTGTGACTCTAGTTCACAGTTTTTCATGTATCAGTGAATCTATGCTAACAAAGTACCGTAGGGGCTTGTTTTGGATGTGGAGGCAAACAGGACCTGAGCTTTTGACATACACTAGAGCAGAGTCCTGCAGGACATCGCGTCTTTCAGCAGGCTTTATGCAAGGAGTTGTCACCATTTGCTCCAAGGGTTTTTTGATCCCAGCACCTGTCTAGCTGCTGACCATTCCTAGCCTGGGTAGGGCAGCTTGTCAAGAGCTTAATTAGTACAGACACTTTTACCTTGTCTTTAGCTGCTTTGCTGTCTGTGCTTCCCTGGAAGAACACCAGGTGATAGCTGGGTGTTTGAAGGAAAGCGTTGCCGGTCACCTGCAGGGCCTCTGTGGAGACCCGCAGCCATCAGCAGCCGTTTTCTGCTCTGGCAATCTCTGTCCCGCTGCCGCAGCTCTGGGAAGGAAGCCGACATTCAGAAGCAAGGTTTATGGCTCTCTCCTGAGAACGATCCTGCTTCCTTTGGGAAGACCTTGATATGTTTGCATCTGCTGAGTCTTGGTGAATCAGACCTTTCATCTGCCTACAGTTCTTAACAACCAGTAGTTTGGATCTTTCCTCCTCACTCCTTGGCTTAATGAAGAGGATCTGCCTTCGCATGTTTTCTCATTGAAGCAGAAAAACTGTGGAGCAGAACTTTTTCTCCTTACAAAAATAAAATTAATGTATATCCTTGAGAGTGTCAAGGTTTGCAGAAGCAGAAGGAGGAGATGTGGAGATCTCTCAGCTTTCTGTGGAAGATGGCCCTTGTCATGGCCTGTCACAGGTTCAGCACACTTCAGTCTGCTCTGAGCAAACCTGTGTTTCAGGTCTTGTGTTTCCATGCTGTGAGTGCTGTTCTCTGCACTAGCTCATCTTTTTATCTCCCTTTGGGAAGTGTCTTGTTGGCTGATGATGGGAATTTCTTTGGACAGGAAAGATTGATGTGATTTCCCCCAATTCCAAAACAGACTTTATCACTTTTCACTGCACAGTGGTGTTGTTTCTCTGCTGCTGGGGAAGACTGTCCTGCAAGCAGCAGAATGGTTGTTTGTGACATTTTTCCAGGGCAAAAGAAGGAAGGATGAGCAGGAGGTGTTAATGGCTTCACTGGGGGGAAGAATGCAGGTACTGATCAGCTGCTGCTTCTGTCAGGGCTGCGCAGTCAGAGCCCTCGCAGTCAGAGCCCTCGTGTACAGGCAACAGTTCTTGTCTCCACCTCCCCATCAGCTGGGCAGGGATGGGCTGAGTTACAGGAGCTGGAGGACGAGGACGGGCTGGGCTCCATCCCACAGCTACAGATCTCTTTCCAGTAACCCCTTGTCTGGCCTGTTGCTATCAAAGCTCTTGGGCCACAGCTTGCGGTCAGTACCTGACTTCTCCATGGATTGTGCCCCTTAAAATTCACTAATTTTGAAATGAGGCATCTTTGTTTCAATGTCTGTAGACCGCTTACTGTGGTCTTTGGTTTTGTTTAGAAGTTCTTGCTGTAGGCAGTGTTCCTCTTCTGTACATGGAGTCCTGCCAGGGGCTCC